GGTGGGCAGTTGGGGAATTGCCCAAATCATTTATTTGTAAGGGGCACTGAAATATCACTGGAATAATCAGTTAACATTTTCATAGGCAAACTCTTACACAAGTAGAGAAATATAAATTTTTTCCTGCTTCAGGGAAGTGGAAACTAAAAACAATAGTATTAATCTTTCAACCTAAATAACAAACAGAGGTAGGCTCTCTAGAAGAAAATGATGTTTATTTGGGAATAAAGCATTGCAGTGGGAATATGTGTGCCATAGTAAATTATGTGTGCATTCAGGGAGGTCAAGGAAGACAAAGGTTTTTAAAGAAAAAAATGTGGAGGATTATAGTAATTATTTTGAGATAATTTGGCTACAAAGATCAATAACAAAGGTAATACCAGTCCAAGATTGCACAGGGAGTTGCTGGGCAGATGTCCTTGAAGAAGTATTTTTTGTGTAAGATTTTGACAGCCTTTGAGCAAGGTCGTGGATTTTGCAAAGCGTTTTGTTACAGTTTTTGTTAGCAGGCATCTGTGCATGAGAATCCTCTCTTAATGGCCTTCCTGGGTTCTACTTGTCTGGTTTTTTCCCCCCACACTAGTGACTCTCTTGATTCTGACAACTTTCACAAACTTAACAGTTACTGGATTTTTGTTGTTGTTTGTTGTTTGTTTTTGTTGTTGTTTGAGACAGGGTCTTGCTATGTTTCCCAGGCTGGTCTTGAACTCCTGAATGGCATAAAATGTTACAAGGGGTTGCATCTGAAGAAGGAGCCAAGAACTTTTTGTTGTTGTTATTGTATATAATACTTTTAGTTCTACTTGAATTTTTAAACTCTGTGCTCATATTGCTTGGATAAAAATTAAAATTAAAACAAAATAACAAAAAGAATATCCCAAACTTGGGCCTTTAAGCCAGAACAAGTAAACTACACATCACAAGACCACTAGCTGAAGAGAGGGAGCTCCAGACATTCCTGTCCATACTTGCCTTACTTCCCACACAGCACTGTCACTGTGTAACACTGAAAACAAATTTTAAAAGCAAAACGAGTTTTGGGCCAGTGTGGTGGCTCATGCCTGTAATTCCAGCACTTTGGGAGGTGAAGAAGATGGGCAGATTGCTTGAGCCCAGGAGTTTAAGACCAGCCTAGGCAGCATAGCAAGACCCTGTCTCTATAAAAAGAAAAGCAAAACCAGTTTACTGAGAATCTTAAATGCCTAAAGAGTTGATCACCCCAATAATGGGATTGACTTTGAGTAAGAAAATGACTCTAGGCTGGGCACAGTAGCTCATACCTGTAATCCTAACACTTTGAGAGGCAGAGACAGGAGGATCACTTGAGCCCAGGAGTTCAAGACTAGCCTAGGCAACATGATGAGACCTCATCTCCACAAAATATACAAAAATTAGCCTCGTATGGTGGTGTGCATCTATAGTCCTAGCTGCTTAGGAGGCTGAGGTGGGAGAATCACCTGAGCCCAGGAGGTTGAGCTGCAGTGAGCCATGATGGTACCACTGCACTCCAGCCTGAGTAACAGTGAAACCCCATCTCAAAAAAAAAAAAAAAAAAGACTTTAATGTCTGTATTTTAGGTAAATTGCTTTTCTGTGTACAGGATAAATTTGATAGAGATTGGCTGGTAGCTAGGAGACTGGTTAAGGAAATTGATAGTAAATCTAGATTGATGGCAGAGGAACTGGAGAGGAAAGTTGGTCTAAGAGATTAGAACAACTGAGGACTTTTTTCTTATTATCATATGTTTATTATTATTTTTTTTATTATATATTCTTTTATTATTATTTTATATTATTTTTATTTTTATAAAGATGGGGTCTCACCAAGTTGCCCATTCTGGTCTCAAACTCCTGGGATCAGGCAATCCTCCTGCCTTGGCCTCCCAAAGTGCTGGGATTACAGGCATGAGCCACTGTGCCTGCCCAAGGACTACTTGGTAGCTGATCAGATATGACAGACAAGAAAAGGAAATTTAATAGGTATCTCCCACTTTTCCATCTGCCCACAATCCCTTTTTTTTAGGCACTGGTCACTCACCCACTCCAAATTCCTGTTGCATAGCAAACTCATATCCTCAAAACTGAAAGAAATATGTGTCCCAAGCTGGCCATTCAGAGCATTCCTTGACTGGCCAGTGTATTTACTTCACAGACATAAGCCAAAATGAATGAAACCTTTCTTCCAATAAAGTTGGGGGAACATGCTTTCTCCATAAGTTTTGGGATGTCAGAGGCCATCACACTGTCATGTAGATAGGGCCTCTCAAGCAATAGAGTCAGACATGGCTGGGCATGGTGGCTCAGCACTTTGGGAGGCTGAAGCAGGAGGATTGCCTGAGCTCAGAAGATCGAGACAGACCTGGGTAACATGGATAAATCCCATCTTTACAGAAAATACAAAAAAAAAATTAGCCAGGCATGGTGTAGTATATGCCTGTATAGTATATGCCTGGTGCCCGTAGTCCCAGCTACTTGGTGGGGCTGAGGTGGAGGATTGCTTGAGCTCAGGAGGTCAAGGCTGCAGTGAGCCATGATGGACCACTGTACTCCAGCCTGGATGACAAAGTGAAACCCTGTATCAAAAAAAAAGAAAAAATTAATAATTGACATTAGTTTTTTTATTCATAGGCAAAATATATTGAAACTGTAAAATTGTATTTCACAAGCCTTCAAGCTCAATATATATTATTAGTCTATTTATAAATCTCATAATTTTTGCATAAAAACATGGACAATCACTTTCACATATGCTCTGCTATGGTTTAATTAATTCACAAGTGTTAACAGACTAAATATTCTTTAAATATTTAACATCATTTGCATAATCAACTAATCTCATTTTCTTAGACATTTTAAACTACAATTACAAATGTAATATATCTAACATCTAGCCAGTGAAATTTTTATAAACACCTAACTCTTGCAAATCTAATACCAATAAACCAATCATACAGGTGGTCATGAAATTCCCTTAAATGTTTCATACATCTTGAAGGCTGACAAAGCCCCCCAATAATAAGAACTTTCACAAAAATAATGAAACTATATTAATTTGCCATCTTTATATTAAAGGCTCCAAATAGTGGCCAACATGAAGATGCGCCACTCAGATATTCTTTCAAGCAAGGAGCAGGTAGTATGATCAGCAGATGGCCTCCTGTTGTCGGCTCTTTCAGGGTGTGCCTCAGCTGCAGTCATGCCCTTCCCAGGGCAGCCCATGTCAAGTAATTGAGGGAGGAAGGGAGCAGTATGTAAAAGTAATGGGGTGATACACTCTGACCTACAATACTGGCTCCATAGTTTTCTCTCTGATCATCTGCTTCTGGAAAACCTAGTGCAACACAAATTAACTCATAACACCAACATGAATGGAATTGTCATCTCAGATGTCCTACAGCAACTGAGGCTGCAAATTTGGGGTATCAGTCACAATTCTTGTTACTACTTCCAGCCATTATGTGACTTGAGCCACAGGTTAACAAACTGAGTCTTTTTTTTTTTTTTTTTTTTCCCAAGAACTGAGAGAGGTATTGAGTCCTTTTTAATGGTGAGGCTCAACTTCCTTACCTAATATACTACTGTAATCTTATTCACAGTAGTTTTCTGCCTAATATAAATCAAGTATGCACATAAACACGGTTTGTAGTTCCCACAACCAGCACCACACCTAATCCAGGTTCTGCCACGAATTAGTTCTTAGAACTGGGGCAAGTTATTGACCTCTTTGTGCTTAATTTCCTTATCTGGAAGATGTTAATCATCTGATAAAGTTGTTGTGAACAGTAAATACTTAATACATTTAAAAGTGCATAGGCCAGAACTGGTGGCTCATACCTGTAATCCCAACACTTTGGGAGGCCAAGGCAGGTGGATTGTTTGACCCTAAGAATTCGAGATCAGCCTGGGTAACATGGTGAAAACCCATCCTTAGGAAAAAAATACAAAAATTAGCCAGACATGGTGGCATGTACCTGTAGTCCCAGCTACTCAGGAAGCTGAGGTGGAAGGATCATTTAAGCACGGGAGGTTGAGGTTGCATGGAGCTGAGATCGTGCCACTGCACTCCAGGTTGCATGTATTATTGGTCTGAGTTCTACACTGTCTATTTTTTCTTATCTGTCTCATCAACATTCTATAATAATTTGACAAAACGATTACAAAAAAAAGTTGTTTCATGAACCTTAATTATCAGACACTTCAGATTTGGGGCCCTGTATTAATCCATTCTCACACTGCTATAAAAAAATTCCCAAGATTAGGTAATTTATAAAGGAAAGAGGTTTAATTAACTCAGTTGCCCATGGCTGGGGCGGCCTCAAGAAATTTTCCAATCATGGAGGAAGGGGAAGCAGGCAGGTCTTACATGGCAGGTCTTATATGGCGGCAGGTGAGAGAGAGCATGTGAGAACGCAGGAAAAACTACCATTAATAAAACCATTGGATCTTGTGAGAATTCACTCACTATCAACAGCATGGGAGAAATCATTCTCATAATCCAATCACTTTAATCCTTCCATAAGTGGGGATTAAAATTCGAGAAAAGATTTGGGTAGGGACACAGAGCCAAATCATATCAGGACCTAAGTCCTAAACTTTAGATGAACTTATTTAAACACTATTCTGCCTATCAGTTTAATGTTTTGGGCTTTCTTTCTTTATGAAGATGTAAACTAGATGTGTAAAGACCGGTTTGGGAGCACATACATAAAAGGTTTTTCTAATATATGAAACATGAAAATATGAGATTATTTCAATATTATTCTGAAGCGAGACAACTCTTGCAATTACAAAATAAAAGTCTTTGCTCTTCAAGTAAGACTGTGCCCCCTTCCCAAAAAAGATTTATGCATTTATGGTTAAAGTTTAAATGAAAATGATTTAATATGAATAAGTTAAAAATAATAATGAGTACATATGGACAACTTACTACAGGGTGAGATGATGTTGTAAATGACTTCAAAACATTTGGAACTAAATGTCAGTCCTAGGAAATTGTGCAGTCCTGTAAATCGTGTTATTAAGGATTAGGCTTCTTTCAACACCTTAGATACTTGATCAGAAGAGTATTTAAGAAAAAGGAAAGCTCCCCTTGCTTTTGACCCCAAGTTGGGAATTTTCTGTCATTGGTGCAGTGCCTGAAAATACGATCCAATCTTCATTTAGTCATTTCTACAGAGTCTGGAAAGGCGAAAATATTGCAAATAATGGGGCCTACTCATACTTTCCCCCTTAAGAAGCTTATCTATTTCAAGGTGCCTGTTTGGAAAAACAGACTCCAGGTCTCCACCACAGAACCAAAATGAAAGCACACAACCCGCAGCCTTTGGCCGTGGTGTTTTTGAAAACAGGGAAGGGCACAGAATCGTGGTTTAAAATACCAGAAAGCTGCAGCCCCCAAAAAAAAAGAGTATTCCGGGGCGGGCTGGACCTTCCCTGCAGGCAATCTTCTGTGCAGGCGGACGGACGTTCCTGGGGGAAGGGCGCCACTGTGAGATGCAAAGACATCAAGCGGACTTTCAGCTTTCCAGTGGACGCTGCGGGCCCCCTTTCCCTACCCAGTTCTGTACCGCGGCTCCCCAGCCCACCCCGGGCCACCCAAGAGGTCCGGTGGGGTTTGTGCCGGATTAGTGCCCGCTGGTCGGACTCAGCCCTCCGCACAGCCAGGCCGACCAGGCCCCCAGAAATTCTGTCGTCGGGTGTGGGACCGCGAAGGAAAGGGCGAGTTTTCTTCCCAGAACTCAGTGGAAAACCAAGGAAAGGAGGCGGCGGCTGTGTAAACCAGGCCTGGGGTGCAGCCTCCGGGAACAAAAGAGGTGGCGATTGCACAGCAGCCGAGGCTCTGCGTGCTCCTTTGGGGCCACTACGAATGCACGTGAATCACCCCTGTCCGTGCAAAGCGCCAGAAATGATGAAAACGCACGTTCATGGGTTCCACTCCAGCCCTACAAGATCACCAACAGTATCTGGCAGCACCCAGGAATCTGCCCTCTCAACAAGCGCCCGGGCCGACGGGCTAGTTAAGTTTGAGAACAATTGCTTCATACACAGTCGCTCCGCTATCACCAAGGAATCACCGCTGCGGCTGCGGCTGCGGCTGCGGCTGCGGCTGCGGCTGCGGCTGCGGCTGCGGCTGCGGCTGCGGCTGCGGCTGCGGCTGCGGCTGTGGCTTAGGCCAGGCCGCGCCTCAACCGAGCTTGGTCCTTTCCTGTGGTCCCGCCTCGCTGCTCAGCGCGGATTGGTGATGGGGCACAAATCTGGCGCTGATTGGGCGGTGGTGAAGTCGCTCGTAAAGACTGTAGGGTTCGGGTGCTCTAGAGTGCTAAATTTATCTTCAGACCAGCGACCGCGCCAGCCGCGAATCGGATCTCTATGGAGGTGGCCCAGGCGATATCCCTGAGCTGAGAGCATCACCCTGTCCCCGAATCCTTCTTTCCTCTGTTTCGTTTTTCATTCCCCTTTCCTTCTCCTCTCCCCCTCCAGTCCGCGACGACTGGCTCTTGACCCAGTTCAGGCCTCGGTGAAGGTGAGGAGCATAGCCGCCGCCGCGGCTAAGCGGTGCGCTCTGAAATGGCCGCTTCCCGGAGCTGTCTAAAATGGCGGTCTCGGGCTCAGCAGGGGACCGCGGCGCTGCTGTGCAGCCCAGCCGCTGCGAAGACCGCTCTCTCCATCGCTGATGGACTTGAAGTAGAGAGATGGTATTGGGTGCTGAGACGTTTTCATGTGGTCGTTAGTGGAGGCGGCCGCCCGGGGACGCGAGAGGAATCCTGAGGCAAGGGTGGGCTGCGACTGGTAGCGAGCCTCTCAGTCGTGGAGATCTGCGGGCAGCGCGCACCTGTGACAGGGAGGCGCTGAGGGATAGTTGGCCCTGGCTGCACATTCAGGTGACCATTTAGAAAAGCATTTAGGTGTTGAAGTATCCACCTTTCTGGCTGACCCTGCTCTCAGACCCTGCCCTCCTGACCCTGAGGGTATTGTTACCAGCCGGAACCGCCCGAGGGGTGGGGGGGAAGGATTGTGATACCTGTCAGTTTACCCGGAAGGAGACCAAAGATGAAGGTTTTCTCCGCTCCCCAGGGAGTGGAATGGGAACTTTACTCTCAAGGGAGTCCAGATTCTTTGTCCTCCAGAAATTCTGGGGAATCACCTTTGAAGAGGAGGAGTGAGAACCTCCTTTCTGAAAACAAAAGCTTCCTACTCTTCTGTGTCCTTCTCTAGCGACGAGGGAGAGGGATTCTAATCTTCTTAGGTGAACCAGCATCTCCACAAAGTTCTCCGATGCAAAATCCAAATGGAGACTATGGAAAGAGAATCTGCTTTTTTGCTCCCAATAAGAAGTGGGGCTTTCTGCTGTTGGCAGTATGAGACCCTCGACTTTCTGGCAGTTGTAACCCATTGTTCATCTATTTCTCTGTGTAGCCTAACTCCTAGTAACCAGATTTTTTAGTAGTTGGCGTATTAAAACTATTGAGGAACACACAAGTAGTGGCTAGACACATGGGCTATGCAGTCAAACTTTTTGGGCTCTGTAGTTGGCTTTTCACTTGGAAGAGGTGTTAACTTATCGAGATGTGTTAATGTCTCTGTGTCTGTTTATCTCTAAAGTGGGGTTATTAATAGTCCTTGTCTCTTCATAGATTAGGTCATCTATATGAGGAATTTAGCACAGTTATTGGCATATAATAAACAGTGATCACTCATTAAACATTGTTTCCCTGAGAAGATTGGTTATTGGGGGGCTGAAAGTGATTGTAGTGAAAGGACTATTTCATGTAATAGTTCTATGTATAATTCCATTTTAGATTCAAGGCCTAGTTTTAGAGACATTAAGATGAGTCTGTACTTTTAAAAATTAGGTTTAAAGTTCTTGAGAGTGTGTTGTTGTTTATTTAACATATTTTATGAAGTGAGTGGATGGGGGAATATCTCAAAGCAGCTAAATTGCCAGAATATTGAACAGGATGAAAATGTTAGAATTTTTACTATGCGAGACGTCTTCTGTTTCAGTTTAAGATCTGCATTGCAGTAAAGAATCATTTGCACTGCTTAGATCCAGAAAGAATGGTCATCTTACAGGCTTATAGTTCTGCTTGTTATCATGTCTAATTTTGATTTTTCTCATTCTAGGCTTTTGGTTACTCCCCTTCCCACCCCATCCCTTATTTTTATTATTTTGAAGAGTGCATTTCAAGCTGCCAAGGTGGAGAGAGGGATTACAGAAAGGAGAACGCCTTATTTCAGGTATCTTACGCTCTACCCCTTAATAGGAGAACCATTTTTTATTCAGGATCTAACATGAGAATACAACACTTACCCTATATCTATAGCCAGGTTATAAAGTTTAAACCTAAAGTAGCTATATTTGGGCAGACATGATTTGTATGCCTTAATTTATAGAGCTAATAGTATTCTTCAGCAATCCTTAGATTGCATTATCCTTTTAATTATGATTTGTTTTATTATCTGAGGAATAAACCTATTAAATGAGAGTTTATATTTTCTTTAGGTCCTGGTTAAGTTTTCACCTGTTGTCTAAATAGAACGCAGAGTAATCCATAAAAATATATTACTTTCATTGAGTCTTAATTTGGATAATATAAACATTTATATAATTTAAGTACAGAGAAACAGTGCCTAACTTTTGATCTACAATTTATTCTGCATTGTTAACACATAGTATTTAGGATACAGTTGAATTGTGTGTCTTGCAAAACTTGGAACTGTGTGTATTTTTATTTCACTTCTTCAGAATTGTTGATAACCCTGAAGGGACTTCAGATATATAATAGTATCAACAACTAATACATCTAATGGCAGTAGGCATCGAAAGCTAAAAGAGATTTCACAATACTATGTACCATGAGACAGGGCTGATAACTATGGCCCATGCTGTCTGGTTTTGTACCTAAAGTTTTATTGGAACACACCTGTGCCCATTCTTTTATGTATTGTCTATGGCTGCTGTCGTGTTACAACTACAAAGTTGAGTAGTTGCATAAGAGACTATATGGCCCTTTACAAAAAAACCCTGCCAACCCCCACCATGGGACATATTCTTCAAGATCCCTTTCTTAAAAATATGTGTAACAACTCTTAATAGTTTCTTGGCTCAATTATTCCCAAATTATGTTTTATAGAATATTAATATTCTCTAAGTTAATAAATGTTTTGAGAAAAAGATTGATGCTAATAGTTTTTCTTTATGGTTGATGTTAATATGTTTCTTTAAATATGAGATTAAGACTACTAAACTCATTTCTATAGCTTTTATTTTTATGTGATAATCTACCTTTAAGAAAAGGTGTACCATACCTGAGAGCACCAGGAAGTCGCATGAGAGATCACCTGATACATGAACGTATGATGTTCCATCTGCGCATTGATGCATAGGCAGCATTAACAAATTAACTGATGTGTTGCTGTGTATCATCTCTTTGACGATTGCTCGTCTTGTTTGTATCCTGTCTTATAATTTGAACACATTTGTGATACTCAATGTCTGTTCTAAATTAACTATGTTTTGTACCACAAACTCATTGCCCATGGATCTGTTGCTGAAACAAGGAAGTCTTAAACAAGAAGTGGAATCTTTCTGTTATCAGATTGTGTCTGAATCAAATGATCAGAAGGTCGGAATATTACAAAGTGAAGATAAACAGTTGCAACCTTCAGTTTCTAAAACATCAGAAGGTGAGCTTTCCAGGGTCAAATTTATATCCAATTCCAACAAAATAACATTTAGTAAAAAACCAAAAAGAAGAAAATATGATGAAAGTTATTTGTCTTTTGGATTTACGTACTTCGGAAATAGAGATGCACCTCATGCTCAGTGTGTATTATGTAAGAAAATTCTATCAAATAGCTCTTTAGCCCCTAGTAAGCTTCGAAGACATTTGGAAACTAAACATGCTGCATATAAAGACAAAGACATAAGTTTTTTCAAGCAACATCTTGATTCCCCTGAAAATAATAAACCCCCAATGCCTAAAATTGTGAATACAGATAATGAAAGTGCTACAGAAGCGTCATACAATGTAAGTTACCATATAGCGCTGAGTGGAGAGGCTCATACTATTGGGGAATTGCTTATCAAACCTTGTGCAAAAGATGTAGTGATGCGGATGTTTGATGAGCAATATAGTAAAAAAATAGATGCAGTACAGCTATCAAACAGTACTGTTGCACGTCGAATTAAGGATCTAGCTGCTGACATTGAAGAAGAGCTTGTTTGTAGACTGAAAATTTGTGATGGGTTTTCACTGCAACTGGATGAATCAGCTGATGTTTCAGGACTTGCTGTGCTGCTTGTGTTTGTTCGTTATAGGTTTAATAAGTCCATTGAGGAAGACCTACTCCTGTGTGAATCTTTGCAAAGTAATGCTACAGGTGAAGAAATATTCAACTGTATTAACAATTTTATGCAGAAACATGAAATTGAATGGGAAAAATGTGTTGATGTTTGTAGTGATGCTTCTAGGGCAGTGGATGGGAAAATTGCTGAGGCTGTCACCTTAATAAAATATGTGGCTCCTGAAAGCACCAGTAGTCACTGCCTATTATATAGACATGCACTAGCAGTTAAAATAATGCCTGCATCTCTAAAAAACGTGCTAGACCAGGCAGTACAAATCATCAATTATATTAAAGCTCGACCACATCAATCCAGACTACTGAAAATTTTATGTGAGGAAATGGGTGCGCAGCACACAGCACTTCTTCTAAATACAGAGATAAGGTGGCTTTCTCGAGGTAAAGTTCTTGTAAGACTATTTGAACTTCGTCGTGAACTTTTGGTTTTCATGGATTCTGCTTTTCGACTCTCTGATTGTTTAACAAATTCATCTTGGCTGCTAAGACTTGCATATCTTGCAGATATTTTTACTAAATTAAATGAAGTTAATTTGTCAATGCAAGGAAAAAATGTGACGGTTTTTACAGTATTTGATAAAATGTCATCATTGTTAAGAAAATTGGAATTTTGGGCCTCGTCTGTAGAAGAAGAGAACTTTGATTGTTTTCCTACACTAAGCGACTTTTTGACTGAAAATAATTCTACAGTTGATAAAGATATTTGCAGTGCCATTGTGCAGCACCTTAGGGGTTTGCGCTCTACTCTGTTAAAATACTTTACTGTAACAAATGACAATAATGCTTGGGTTAGAAATCCATTTACAGTTACTGTTAAACCAGCCTCATTAGTAGCACGGGACTATGAGAGCCTGATTGATTTAACATCTGATTCTCAAGTGAAACAAAATTTCAGTGAACTTTCACTAAATGATTTTTGGAGTAGCCTAATTCAGGAATACCCATGCATTGCAAGACGTGCAGTGCGTATACTTCTTCCTTTTGCTACAATGCACCTGTGTGAAACAGGGTTTTCATATTATGCTGCAACAAAAACAAAATATAGGAAAAGACTTGATGCTGCACCTCATATGCGAATCCGACTTAGCAACATTACTCCTAATATTAAGCGGATATGTGATAAAAAGACACAAAAACACTGTTCTCATTAAAGTTGGAGGGGTTTGCATGTATCATGATAACCAAATGTAAGATAAAAATAAAAGATGATTTACTTCATCTGTGGTATTTGGGGGTTTTAAATAAAATAATTCAATTTTTTATACTATTTAGATATTAAGAAAGCTAGAGAATCAAAAATTTAAACGTATTGTGTTACTGTTGGTATTTCTTCTTTACGCTGTAAATTGTAAAGGTTTCCATGATCATAACTCGGAAATAATGATCCACAAGATAGAGTCCCAATCCCATAACATGTCTCTGCAAGATCTGATCCCTACCAATCTTTCCCTGTCTACCCTACAGCTCTCCAATCCTGTGGAACTTCTTGCCATTCTGTAAACATATCACACTGTTTTATGGTTTTCAGTCTGAAAAAACAATTCTGTCCCCATCTTTCTGATAGGCTCCTATTTGCTTCAACACTTTGACTTGTAGGTACTTTCATTCTCTGTATCTTCCTATTTTGATTCTGTTTCATACTTGTATTTAATGTTTGTGTCTCAACTGTGAACTCCTCGATGGTCTCATGGTTCCCAATATTTTAAGATTGAGTTCATAGAGAGTCTTACCGAGTCTTATCCTTCTCTATCTACATTATCTGGAAAAAGGCTTTACTAAATTAAATGCTCAATAAAGGGAAAAAATGCTAGTGAAAGTGAACCAACAAAAAATGGAATGGGGGTTTCCTACGTTCATTGATTGGTATGGTAGCAGGTGTACACAATGCTTCCCTTTTGAGGTTTTTGGCTAACTTGTTCGATTATCTAGAATTCAGTGTGGCCATGATGCAGAAGTCATTGAGGAATGTCATAGTTTTGTGATTCAGGCTGAACTATTAAGGGAAAGAGGAGAAAGTATGAAGAGTATTTTCAGATACTTTGTTTCTTTCTCATTTCCTATATAGATTATTGTAAATTCCATATACAGTATAAATTAATGAGACTTTAGAGATGCTTAGATTTGAAATCAGTTCTAATACTATAAAAAATTCCTGACTGGATCTCCTGTCTCTGGGCTACTCTTCCTATGTCCATCATGCAACATAGTTCACCAACTCAGTGTGAAATATTCATGTTACTTCTGTCGTCAAGAGCTACTGTAGATAACCATTATTTAATCTCACTTATTGGAACTTATCTTCCATTTTAGGGAGTAGGGGTACCACCCCCCCAACACAGTTAAGGCAGAGTGTGGTAAAATGACTAGGTCCAAGTACCTACTTAACTTTGTAACGTACAGTAATCTGAACCTCTTGAACCTCAGTTGTTTCATCTATAAAATTACAATTATACCTCCTTTGAAGGGTTATGAAGATTAAATGTGAATGTATAAATATAAAACTCCTAATAGTAAATGACCAGGAACAGCTGTATAGCATATATTAGTTCTCTGCTCTATCTAACCATGTTCCAGTTAAACTTGAATCTATACTTCACCTTTCTAATCTGAATTTTTATTCTCCGGAGACTCAACAGTTTATCAGGCCATGGGACCTTTCCTAATCCAAGACAACAAGATTACACACTTCTAGCCCAGGTTTTTTCCCCTCATCACTTTATTAAGCACTTATTTATCTGTAAGGAACTTTATTTTATTTTTTTGAGTCAGAGTCTCTCTCTGTTGCCCAGTCTGGAGTGCAGTGGCACGATCTCAGCTAACTGCAACCTCTGCTTCCCGGGTTCAAGCAATTCTCATGCCTCAGCCTCCCATGTAGCTGGGATTACAAGTGTGCACCACCACCCCTGGCTAATTTATTTTTTTGAGATGGAGTTTTGCTCTTTCACCCAGGCTGGAGTGAAGTAGTGCAATCTCGGCTCACTGCAACCTCCGCCCCTGCCCCCGGGTTCAAGTGATTCTCCTGCCTCAGCCTCCTGAGTAGCTGAGATTACAGCCAGATGGCACCATGCCCGGCTAATTTTTGTATTTTTAGTAGAGACAGGGTTTCACCTTGTTGGCCAGGCTGATCTTGAACTCCTGACCTCAGGTGATCCGCCTGCCTAGGCCTCCCAGAGTGCTGGGATTATAGGCATGAGCCACTTCACCCAGCCTGTCAGGCCCTTTAATAGATGCTCTGTATGTTATCTATAATCTTTACAATAATCTTATGGGATTCAGTCATTTCTGGACTTGCCCTAGGTCATATGTAAGTAACAGAATTTAGTTTAAAATATGTCCTTCTCAAAGACAGTTCTTTTTCCCACCATTGGCTTCCAAACTTTTCTAAGACTATCACATAGTGACTTGGAAGTACAGCCTGAAACTCCCTATTAGAATCTGGACATTTCTTGGAAGTCTGTTTACTTCTAAGTTCACCCAAAATTGGCAGTCTACTTTAAAATATGACTTTATTTTCATGTAAAATATAGAGTAAATTGCTATCAACTACTAATTCTCCAAAGGATGTATCATAATTTATTGTAAAAACAATGCTTTTATTTACTAGTCCCAGAATTATACCCTAGTTTGAGAAGGATGTGCAGTGCCTTAATATCTGTGTCCAGCGTGTACCTCAAGCCTGGCAACTAGACTCCTGTGATTGCTGAGTCCAAGCCCTTGATGAGATTATCTGTCCAAGATGTCAGCCTCTTGAAATATAAACCATTCTTGTCTTCTAGTCCTTTTCCCCTAAGCTCCTTGGAGAGTCTCGATTACTGCATTTAAATCCAAGTCTGTTATGTGGGACCCTGTTATCTGCTACTAGACCTTTTTAAGGCTGACCCTACCCATCTTGGTTCTTGATGCCTAAAGTGCGAATGGACTTTTAGCACCTGAAGATGGTTCTGGTGGACAATAGACAAGTCGAGTTCCCGATAGCAACTAGTTCTAGATTACCTAAATGTAATTACCATGACTGAATCCCAAAGAGAAGATTCTTTTCCTTTATATTTAAACCCTACCTACCCTTCAGAATTGGCTTTTTATTCTGTAAATAAAACCAAAGGAAACCAAGTAAGAAGCACTGCCAGCCTCCCTTTCTTCTATGTTTCCAAAGCCCTTTGGTTACCCTTCTGCCACTGTAATACCCGTGAGACTAATAATGAAGCACTCTCTGGAGCTAGAGGGAAACCTCTGACAAACCCTTTCTCCCAATAGAATAACTCTTAGAGGAAGAGATTAATAGCATTCCATTTAATAAATGGAAGAGATATTTGAGGAATAAATTATATTTTCATGGCACCCTCAAATGACAGTTACTCTTCCAACTGATGCATGAAACAGTAAAATTCCCCCTCATGTGTCCAACCCAAAAGGACTTTCCCACTTTTAATCCCTATATTTACAGTAATTGAAATTGCCTTGATTTCTTAATCAGGATTATTTCATAGATTAGTCTTGCCCTACCACCCCACATACAAAAAGACACCAATCATAAGCTCTTTGTAGCTGTGATGAGTCCTTCATAAAACTTGGTAAATTTCTAATAATATAAAAAGTGAAAAGCGAATTGAGTTTCCTAGCTTAAAAAGTGAAGTGTTAAGGTAAAAGACAATTCCTACTATTAGTAACATTACAAAAATTAACTGGTCCAGTGCAGTGGCTCACGCCTGTAATCCCAGCATTTTGGGAAGCCAACACAGGCAAATCACTTGAGCTCACAGATTCAAGACAAACCTGGGCAAAGACCTGTCTACAAAAACTACAAAAATTAGCTGTGTGGTAATGCATACCAGTTGCATTAAACTCACTTAAGCATATAAGGCAGTAACTAGTCTTTGCCTTTCAAACACTTCAAAAGCAGCATTTCTTTTTTTAGAGACATGGTCTCTGTCATCCAGGCTGCAGTGCAGTGGCACCATCATAGCTCACTGTAACCTCACTCCTGGGCTCAAGGAATCCTCCCACCTCAGCCTCCTGAGCAGCTAGAACTGCAGGTATGCACCAACATGCCCAGCTTTTATTATTAGTATTTTTGCAGAGACTGGGTCTTGCTATGTCACCTAGACTAGCCTGGAACTCAGCCTGAAGCAGTTCTGCCTCAGCCTTTCAAAGTGTTGGGATTACAAGGCATGAGCCACCATGCTCAGCCAGCAACATTTCTTTAATAAATTCCCTTTCCTTAAAAATGCAGTTTTGCTGCCCAAAATGTAAGTCACCTACAGTTCTTGAAAGAATCTGTCAGCTATGTAAACCTAGTTGCCTCTGGAACTTATATGTTTGTTTACCTTTATTTTTAAAAGTTGACATAACTATACTGTTAATTAGTACAATGGAAAGAATTCTTAAGTGGATGTTAAGAGATTGTGTTCTGCAACTAATTAACTACCTTAGATAAGTTCATTTCCCTCCTAGGCCTTAGTTTCTTAAGTGAAAGGTGCTGAACTAGAATCTCTTTCCGCTTGGCGTGGTTGCTCACACCTGTCATCCCAACACTTTGACAGGCCAAAGGAGGATTTCTGGAGTCCAGAAATTCAAGACCAGCCTGGACAAAATAGCAAGACCCTGTCTCTACAAAAAACAAACAAAAAAACCTGATAGCTGAGCATGGTGGCTTGCACCTGTAGTCCTAGCTATTCAGGAGGCTGAGGTGGGAGGATTGCTTGAGGCCAGTAATTCAAGACCAGCCTGGGCAATGTGGCGAGACCGCATTACTATTAAAAAAAAAAAAAGGGCGTGGTGATGCATGCCTGTGGTTCTAGTGACTTGGGAGATGAGGCAGGAGAGTCACTTGATCCCAAGAGATAGAGAATGAAGTAGGCTGTGATTGCATCACTGCACTCCAGCCTGGGTGATTGAGACCCTGTCTCAAAATATGTAAATAAATAGAATGAGTTCTAAAGTTCTGATCATATAAGATCAAAATTTAAACATAAGTAAAGATTAGGGTGATAAGATGTTCTCAGTCACTTGAAATATATGGTTTTTGTCTTAGGAGCCAAGCTTTTTCAATGAGTCTTTACTATAATGCTTTCCACCAACCAAACGATAAAATATGAGTTGCCCCGTCATGGATACCTGTTGGATGGAAAGAATGAAGTAATTTTTTGGAATGGATAAATACTTTGAAATTTAGAAAACATTGGAGGGGAAATGAAAATGTTTGGTTATGACTGTATTGG